GCCCTCCTCACAAAGCACGCAGCATTATTCTGATCCTTCTCTTTCTCTTCCTTATTTGCCGACAACAATGCTTTCAGCAACAGCAACTGCAACAGCGACGACACAATCAAAATCAACACAAAAGTTGCTCCCTGCTGATGTTCGTTGGTGTCTCGACAACAAAGACGACTTGTCGCTCGTATCCTACGTAGATCACTTTACTTTGGCCAGCAGACGTTATGCCGTTCGACGCTACAAGCATATCATTAAAAGGAACATCCCAAAAGAGGATCGGCGACGACTTTTATCCGAGTTGAAGTTTTTCACGAAAACAGTGCGATACTATCAATATTGGTGAAGAAGGTGGCGCTCAAAAGCAAAACTCGATCTTTACAAGAATACTGGACGCGTCAACAAAACAGCAGGCGAAATCACTGTTAACTACATTCCGAGGAAAGTCAATCGACAACATCATCATCTTCCAGCAGCAATCACATTACCACCGATGATGACGATGACGATGAAGGTGACGCTGTTGATGTTGATTTGACAACTGGAAGATTCGCTACAAGACGCTTCATCTGTGGATGAAAATCATGCAACAAGCTCGTCACCACCCCAAGCCCCTTCCTCGAGTGGTACGTATTCATCTCAAGATGCCGTTAAGCTTGCATATTAAACAGCTTCCTCAAAAAAAAGATCATAGCGAGAATTACGAATTCGATTCAGAAGATAGTTGCTGTCTCAAACATACCAAGAAGTCAGATGGTTCGTCTCGAGGTGATGTCATAACGAAGGTGATAAAATGCTCATCATCAAAGTAGGAGATACAGGCTTTTTCATCTAAATCACCTACCATCATCAATCAGTGGGACCTGCCATCTTATCAAACACGTTATTAGCTTTAGCATTATGCTCACATACACACCACACTGCTCCTTTTATGAAATGATTTCTTTGCAAAAATATATACGGATGATGTCCCTTGCTATCCATTTATACATACGTGATCATAAGGGTTTATATTTATGATAGTCTTTATTGTTGTTAATGGTAGTTTTTATATACATTATTTGTACAATCAATGAGTGGAATAGCGTTGTTAGTGTATGATGTGACATGTTTAGCACGCTTGTTGATGCCGCCTGCAACAGGAAGAAAAGCGTTGCCTTCGCTGGAAAATCAACTTCACGAGCACATTGGCGACCTTCGTTGATACCCCATACAATAAGCGATTGACCACGTCGGCAATCACCTGCAGCAAATACGCCAGGAGCTGAAGTGTTGTACTTGCCCTTGGGAGTCTCAATATTGGTACGGCCATCTTGCTTGAGAGAAAGTTGCTTGACAAGAGCTTCTTCAGGACCCAAAAAGCCCATGGATAAGAGCACCAAATCAGCAGGGAAGAATTCTTCAGAGCCGGGAACATCCTTCATAGCCCAACGACCATTTTCATCCCTTGGACCATTCAACACGAACAGTGTTAATACCCTTGACATTGCCTTCAGCATCCTTGACAAACTCCCCGGACATGACACAGTATTCACGAGGATCCTTGCCAAAGTGAGCTTGGACTTCACTGTGACCATAATCAACCTTGTGGACACGAGCGAATTGAGGCTATGGGTTATCGTTGGCACGAGTTTGAGGGGGTTGAGGAAGCAACTCAAAGTTGACAACCGACTTGCATCCATGACGAATAGAAGTACCAATACAATCGTTACCGGTATCACCACCACCAATAACAACGACATGCTTGTCCTTTCGGTATGCGTACTTTCCATCTTGAAGCTTGCTATCGAGCAACGACTTGGTGTTGGCTTGAAGGAATTCCATGGCAAAGTGGATACCATTGGCTTCACGACCGGTAATCTTGAGATCACGTGGCCAAGTGGCACCCGTTGCAACAATCACGGCATCATTCTCATCACGAAGCTTGTTGGCATCAATATCAACACCAACATTGGCATTGGGAACAAAGGTAATACCCTCAGCAGCAAGCAAGTTGAGACGACGATCAACCACCTTCTTGTCGAGCTTCATGTTGGGGATACCATACATCAAAAGACCACCCATACGATCATTGCGATCATAGACGGTAACCAAATGGCCAGCCTTGTTGAGTTGATCAGCAGCAGCTAAACCAGCGGGACCAGAACCAATGATAGCAATCTTCTTGCCAGTGCGTTGTGCTGGGGGATTAGGCTTGATCCATCCTTCTTCGAAACCTCGGTCAATAATGGCACATTCAATGCTCTTGATGGCAACTGGTGGTTCACTAATACCAAGAGTACAGCTGGATTCGCATGGAGCAGGGCTGCAAATTATTGAAATGGATGTGTTAGATAAGATAAACATACACACGCATGAAATAAAATTTACTTACCATACACGACCAGTGAATTCAGGGAAGTTGTTGGTCATCATGAGACGATCCAAAGCATCCTGCCAGTTGTCCTTGTACACAAGCTCGTTCCACTTGGGGATAACATTACCAATAGGGCAACCGGTATCGGATTGACAGAAAGGAATACCACAATCCATACAACGAGCACCTTGTTCATGTAATTGGGATCTTGTGAGGCGGTAGTTGATTTCCTCCCAATCAGATCCACGCTTCTTGGCATTGCGATAACCTTCATTGCGACGCTTGTACTTCATGAAACCTCGCACCTTGTCAAGCTTAGCACGACGTTCTTGAATGGCCTTTTCATCCAAAATGCTATCCTCAACATCTTCAACTTGAGGTTCAACAGGAGCAGCAGGCTTGTGTTCGCATTTGGGCTTCTCCTCAACCTTCTTTTCTTGCTTAGCCTTCTCCTTCTCTTCACGTTCCTTGATGAGCAAGTTGCGGTATTCGAGAGGCATGACCATAACAAACTTGGGCAAGTAGGTGTTGAAATCCTTGAGGATACGATCAGCAATCTCGGAACCAGTGTAGTGGCGGTGATCCTCGATCATATCACGCAACTCGGCAATACGTTCAACGTCGTTGACGGTCTCAAGAGCCACCATTTCCATGTTGACCTTTTGCTTAAAGTCACCTTGAAGATCCAAGACATAGGCAATACCACCAGACATACCAGCAGCAAAGTTGCGACCAGTGCTGCCAAGAATAACGGCACGACCACCCGTCATGTACTCACAGCCGTGATCACCAACACCTTCAACAACAGCACGAGCACCTGAATTACGGACACAGAAACGCTCAGCGGCAACACCACGGAAGAAGGCTTGACCAAAGGTAGCACCATACAAGCACACATTGCCAATAATGACGTTTTCTTCAGACTTGAAGGTAGCATTCTTGGGTGGATAAATGGCGAGTTTACCACCAGAAAGACCCTTGCCGACATAGTCATTGGAATCACCTTCAAGCTCAAAGAAGACACCAGGAGCCAAGAATGCACCAAAGGATTGACCAGCTGAACCAGTCATCTTGACATGAATAGTATCCTCAGGCAAGCCTTGTTCACCATGACGTCTTGATACATTGTATGAAAGAGTGGTACCCAATGCACGATCGGTGTTGACGACTTCGGCTTCGATAAAGACCTTCTCCTTTTTGGTGAGAGCAGCTTCAGCTTCATCGACGAAAAAGTTGTCAAGGCGAGTATGCAAGTTGTGGCGTTGCTTGGTGACACACACATTGGCCACACCAGGACGAAGAGAAGAAGCAGGAGTAAGGATAGGTGACAAGTCAAGGTTGGCAGTCTTGAAAGTACGCAAGGCTTCATTGACACGCAACTTTTCAGCATGGCCCACCATCTCATTGATAGTACGGAAACCAAGTTGAGCCATGATGGATCGCATCTCCTCGGCAAGGTAATAGAAAAAGTTGACCACATGCTCAGGTTCGCCTTGGAACTTTTTGCGCAATTCAGGATCTTGAGTAGCAATACCAACAGGGCAAGTGTTCTATATGGTGCATGTATATAAGTAAATGTGGATGTTGTTGTAGAGTGCATATGCATTTACTTACCAAGTGGCACTTGCGCATCATAGTACAACCCAAAGCAATCAAAGGAGTAGTGGCGAAACCCCACTCTTCCGCACCAAGCAAACATGCAACAACAGCATCACGACCCGTCTTGATTTGGCCATCAGTTTGGACAATGACACGACCACGCAAATCGTTGAGCACCAATGTTTGATGTGTCTCGGCAAGACCCAATTCCCATGGCAAACCAGCGTACTTGATACCAGTCCAACGAGAAGCACCAGTACCACCATCATGACCCGAAATGAGGATGTGATCAGCCTTGGCCTTTGCAACACCAGAAGCGACAATGCCAACACCCACTTCAGAGACAAGCTTGACAGAGACACGAGCACGAGGGTTGGAGCACTTCAAGTCATAAATGAGTTGACTCAAGTCTTCGATGGAGTAAATGTCGTGGTGAGGAGGAGGAGAGATAAGACCGATGCCCTATTGCATGAATGAATGATTAATATCTCTTATGTCACATTCATTGTTATATACTTACAGGAGTGGTCTTACGAGTGCTTGCAATCTCTTCGGATACCTTGGTACCAGCCAATTCACCACCTTCACCAGGCTTTGCACCTTGAGCCATCTTGATTTGCAATTCATCCGAATCAGACAAGTAGAAGCTGGTGACACCAAAACGACCAGAGGCAACTTGCTTGATGGCAGAGCGCATCGTATCACCATTCTCCAAGGGATTGGATCTCTCAGGCTTTTCACCACCTTCACCAGTGTTGGATTTACCACCAAGGCGATTCATGGCAATAGCAAGGGATGAATGAGCTTCCATGGAGATCGAACCATACGACATGGCACCAGTGACGAAGCGCTTGACAATGTTGGTCCATGGTTCAACTTCATCAATGGCAACAGGCTTGGCGCTATCAAAGTCGAATTCGAGCATACCACGAAGGGTACATTTCTTGATGGCTTCATAGGCGTTGCGAGTGTAAGCATCCCAAGCATTCTGGTTCTTTTGACGCACGGCATCTTGCAACTGAGCAACGCCCATAGGATCAGTCACGTGAGCCTCACCACCATCACGCCAATGATATTCACCAGACTCAGGCAACGACAAGGGCTGAACAATGTTGCGAGTAGGGAAGCCACTTTCATGCATGGTCAAAGCATCCAAGGCAAAGATGTCAAAGGTGGCGCCCTTGATACGAGAAGCAGTACCAGCAAAGCAACGAGAAATGACAGTGTCATCAACACCCAATGCTTCAAAGATTTGGGCACCCTTGTACGAGGCAAGTGTAGAGATACCCATCTTGGACATGACCTTACGAATACCATCATCGACAGCCTTCTTGTAGTTGTACACCAACTTTTCAGGAGTGAGACCTTCATGAACAGCGCCTTCACGATGCAACTTGAGCATGGCTTCCATGGCAAGATAAGGGCAAATGGCATCCACACCGTAACCAAGCAACACACAGAAATGATGCACCTCACGAGCTTCAGCAGTCTCAACCATCAATGCAATACGACTACGTTGCTTGTTACGCACCAAGTGATGATGGACACCACCAGCAGCAATCAAGGATGAGATAGCCACACGATCCTTGGAAACAGCACGATCAGACAATACAACGACCTTGTATCCTTGTTCAATCACAGAGGACACCTCATTGCACACACGCTCCAAGGCACCCAAGTATCCTTGTACACCATCACCCTTGGCAAAAGTGATATCAATGGTGGCCACCTTCCATTCGGGATAAAATTGCGACATGCTCTTGACAGCGGCCAATTCCTCCATGGAAAGAATAGGCGACTTGAGTTGCAAACGATGGCATTGAGACTCGTCAATCTCCAAAATGTTGCCTTCAGGACCAACAACACACTCGAGCGACATGACAATTTGCTCACGGATGGGATCAATAGGTGGGTTGGTGACTTGAGCAAACAATTCACGGAAGTACTCATAAATCAAGCGTGGTTGTTCAGAAAGACAAGCAAGAGCGGCATCGTTACCCATGGAACCAAGAGCCTCCTTGCCAGTAGAAGACATGGGCACCATGATCAAGTTGAGCTGTTCGAGGGTGTAGCCAAATGCCTTGAGACGAGGATCGGTGTGGACGGTGGTTTCATCCAATTGGGCTTCGAATGGTTTGGCAGCAGCGCTCTTGGCAACGATATCTTGCAAACCAATACGTTGATTCTTGATCCATTCGGTGAAATTGCGCTTGGCAGCGGTTTGGAGCTTGAGTTGCTTATCATCCACAATCACGCCTTCAACAGTGTCCACCAACAACATACGACCAGGCTGCAAACGACCCTTGGAGACCACCGTTTCTTGATCAATGTGTACAGTGCCCACTTCAGAAGCACAAATCATGATATCATCGGAGGTCACATAGTAACGGCATGGACGTAAACCATTACGATCGAGGTTGGCACCACAATAACGACCATCCGAGAAGGTGAAAAGAGCAGGACCATCCCATGGCTCCATCAAAGAACCAGCCCATTGGTAGAATGCCTTGAGTTCAGGGGCCATGTTTTCATTGTTTTGCCATGCCTCGGGAATCATCAACATGACAGCTTCGGGCAAAGTCAACACACCATTCACCACCAACAATTCGAGCACATTGTCGAATGCAGCAGAATCAGAACCTCCTTCTTCAATAATGGGATAAAGCAACTCAAGTTCATCACCAAAAGTATCAGAACGCATAAGGCCTTCACGAGAGCGCATCCAATTCTTGTTGCCACGGAGTGTATTAATTTCACCTGGGAACCAAAATGTGAGTGGATTTGCACGTGAAAAAAAGTAGATGAATCATTGTACTTACCATTGTGAGCACACCAACGCATAGGTTGAGCTCTGTCCCATGAAGGGAAGGTGTTGGTGGAGAAACGAGAATGGACCAAGGAAAAGTGGGTTGTGTATTGGACATTGTTGAGATCATGGAAGTATTCAAACACTTGGCGTGGGGTGAGTTGACCCTTGTAGACAATGTTTTTGTTGGACAATGAGCACACATAGAACCACTTGGCCATGGTAAGTGTATGGGTGGCATGTTTACGCAAAACATACAATTGACGCTCAAAGTATCGTTCGTCAAAGTCCTTGGATTGATCAGCAAGCACGACAAAGGGTTGTTCAATGGCAGGCTCCTTGGACTTGGCAGCAGGACCCAAAATGGATGAATCACGTGGTACGGAACGCCAACCGAGCACCTTCAAATGAAGAGCAGTAGCCATTTCTTCAAAGACACGCTTGCTTTCAGTGACAGTTTCGGGATCACCCTTCATGAAAAGATTGCCAACAGCGTATTGTCCTTCGGCAGGCAATTCAATACCCAACTCTCGCTTGGTTTCATTGACGAAAAAGTCGTGTGGGATACCCGTCATGACACCAGCACCATCACCGTCGCGAATATCAGCACCACTGGCACCACGATGCGTCATGTTGCAAAGGATATGGCTCGAATCAGTGAGGATCTTGTGAGAACGATGACCCTTGACGTGCACCATAAAACCGACACCACATGCATCCTTCTCAAACTCGGGATTGTATAATGCCTGAGCAGCTGGAATAGCTTCTGCCCAAGACTTGTTGACTGAAGTAGACGACATGTTATATATCAAGTGGGGGTATGTACAGAATAAATGTGTCTTTTACAAAAAAAAGTAGAGCCTGCTGCTTTGTATGTGTGTATGTGTGTGTGTGTGTGTGTGTGTGAGGAGTAGGGGGTGTTGTTGTTGATGCGCTTCAAAGAGAAAGAGAGAATGAAGGATGATCTATACAAGACGCAACAAGCAGCAATGAAATAGGTAAAAGAAGAAAAGAAGATGGGATGCGGCACAAAAAGAAGGCTGCTTTAATAGATCCGGTGTAGTCGTGTAGATGCGTGTGGTTTATGGGAGAGGACCGGGATGTTTTCATCATCATCATCATCAGTATCACTTTCCCCCCTTTTCCTTATCTCGGGTGCTTTCATTAGGGCCGTGCTTTTTGATCTTTCCTTGAATCGCTTGATCATGCTTCCGGTTTGATAATTCCCCCCATTTTCTCATTCTTTATCTCATTTCTCGCATAATAAATTGATTCTATGCCATTACAATGGATCCATAGACAATCATTACATCGCTTTCATTAGAGATGGCTTATCATAAAGGATTGATCAAAGGGAGTGAGTCACTCGCAGGATAAAGATCACTTTCCAATTTTCTGCCCATTCGGGATTGTCCGTTATCTTGTCATCTTATCATTCACCAATTGCCAACCAGGAATGGGTGAACAGTCTTTCCATAAATCGTAGGTGACTATGATCTCCGCATCCACCCTCTTCCGAAAAATACCTAATACGCATCGTGTGTGAATTGGATCTGCATGTCACCTCTCAATCCATTGATGCTTACTTTTGTTGATTGTGTGAGTGTTGTTTGCATTCCTTTCGTTGTACTCCAAATCATGTTTCCGATTTCTCGTTTTCTACATGAACCTACCATCATCCTTTTAATAAAGATGATTAGGATCATCACCCATATACACTACAATATATATACGTGCATGTATACATATACATGAGTATGTAAGCAACATGCCTGCGTTATCAGTTGAGATTTCTAGCTGGTATATCATGGCCGGTGTGCAACCCCAGCTCCACTGATAACGACCTTTATCGGAGCCATTTGATTGGCTCATGGAATCAACCCGCCCTGTCCAGCGCCTTGTCCTCGTGAAAAAAGGTGTGATAATCAGTAATGCCATTCATGTGTGCGTTTTGGGTTACGCAATAGACGTCAAAAACAACCCTCTTGAGAGAAGCACATGTCACCTATAAACAGCCGGATACTTTTACTTTTTCGATTTCCTCTTCCCTCTTTTTCCGTACAGCCCACCCAACGTACGACGTCAAAATGTTGCATGACAGCAGCCAACACAACCTCATGATGAACAATGACATTTTTAATCCTGTGCCTTTATGTGTAAAGCCAAAACCGATTTTAAAGATAGCAAGATGTTATCTTTCCTATCATCTATGTACACGTTTACAGTACAACATGGATCACGCCACAAGGTTAAGAGCGCCAAAGTTGAGATGCATAATGTTTGTCGTAGGGAGGAGAGGATGTCCCCACCATCGTCTAGTAAAGAAGCGATTCCGTAATCATCCGGGATCCAGAAAGTAGGGATAACAATGACTAAAAATGCAAAGGCGGACTCTCCTTGTTGAAGTCATCATGGTGGTGTGCAAAAAAGTGTGCATCATCAAGAAGTTGTAATTTACTATTGAGTCAGCTTGATAAGCATTGTAATAGCCAAAATTGAATAGTGGGATCGTAGATGGTTGGCGATAACCTTTACTTGAAACGTCTTCTCATTTAGAATTACTACTCTCAAAGTCTTACCAACCAATCTTCAAACTACTTCGTACCACATGCTGTTTTCGATCATAAAGATATGGTACGTCACACGATCGAATGCATTGTACGCAGTCATCGACCCTTTGATCTAGATATCCCCTTAAGGAGAAAATTGATTTTGATCCTTTCTTGCATTGACGATGTACTTTAGCACCAGTGGAGCCATCACTTTGTGTCCCAACAGTGTCCCTTTCCCCTTTCCCCATCCCCCATAACCTCGTGAGTGCTTTGGGCTTATCCCTAGTCCCACACAATCCTTGCTCCTTGACCTTAGCAGATGATACAGATGGCCATCGTCCAAGCTAGCACTGCCTCATCAACTAGCAGACCTTCATTCAAAATCCCCCCAAATCACATCACATCATGGATGACGCCTTTGTAATCATGAAGCTTGAGCGGTGCCACTTTATGTCTTTGGGATACATTATACAATGGGTGCTGTGGGGTAGCCTAGTCTAATGCATCGGGTGCTGTGAGGTGGTTCTTGTCTAATACAACGCCAAAGGGGAGAAGACGACGATCGAAAAGAGCAGACATATGATGCAGAGTGCTGTTTTATTCGTGTAGTTGTATAAAGTAGACGACTATTAAAGAGATCGAGTTCTACATCGAGTGTCGATGCTAGTGTTATTGTACATGTCAATCGAGGTGGCAATGCTGATGAGGTGGCCGTTGGGAAGTGAAAGCTTGGGTGAAGAAGGTTAGGAAAGAAGGAAAAGAAACGAGCTGACTTTATAATCCAATCCGCTGCTGCATGAGTACATGGTTGCTATGATGCAATGATCCACCAAAATGAAACGCTCCAATGTAGCATATGAATACCGCGTTATGATGACAATGTTATTACCGACAATGAAACAAAGAAAGGAAAATGGGGGATTGGGCATGATTTTGAGAGAGAGAAAGAGTATAACGATGATGATGAACGAGTGTGACAAAAAAAGTGTAAGCATGCTAAAGGGGGAAAAGGGAATTGATGGTATTTTGAAATGAACACCTGCGTGCGTCGCGTCAAAGTAAAATGAATGTTTGAAATCTTATACATAAAAACCACGCCGAAGAGCGAAATGAGATATGTAAGGCATAAAAGAATGATGATGATAGAGGTGGGGGAAAGAAAACGAATGCACAAATGCGTCCTACTACTTGATGGCAATAAAAGGGAATGTGGGTTTTTTAAGGTTCACTCGTTTCTGCAGAGGATGATCCATCGCCAGTGTTATCATTGGTGTTGTTGTTGTTTTGGGTTTCATTGTCTATCCGATAATTGTGGAACATGTTGGCAGCAGCTGTTGTTGTTGTTGTAGCCATCGGATCGACGCCAACTGCATGTTGTGGCATTGCTGTGGGAACACTGGTTGGCACGGCAACGGGTACAGGCACTGGGATAGGTACAGCGGATGTTACAGAAGGTCGACCTGTATCAAAGGATGCATTGATGCTGGTACGTAACACTGGAGAAGGCACCTTGTTGGATGAAGCCCTTCGTGCTGCCAAAGGTGTCTGATGGGCTGCTGAGGCTGCTGCTGCTGCTGCATGCTTTATGGGTTTTTGGAAAAATGCGTCAGCGCATATTGTTGTGTTAAGAGGATGAACAAAAGAGCAATAGTAGAAGAAGAATCAAACACTCACGGCAGCCGCTTCCGCATCTTTGATTCTTGCAAGCTCAAAGAGCCGGTTGCGTTCGATCTCTGTGGCCGATGAAATCATGTTGCTGTAATCGGTAGTAAATTGGCTATAGTATGGGCTATTCATCAAGTCTGAGGTGGTAAGCAAGCTTGGGTCAATACCCAAATTGTTGGCAAGGGATTCAACGGTCGATTGCAAATCGTCAATCTCATCCGAAATAGCCTTGACAGAACGTGTAGCTGTATCAATGGTTGCTGTTGGCGCACCTACCGGACCCATATCTGCCAGCTGGGGTGGCTCTGGTGGCAAATAGGGCATCGTTCCAAAGGCAGCATCCATTGCTGATGATCCAGGAAACGATGGGAAAAAAGGTGTGGTGGTGGATGATGCAGCAGCAGTACTTGTCCTTGAATAATAATCATCACCATTATTGCTTGGTTCCTTGATAGAGTCTGTTGCTGTTGTTGATGTAGACGTTGATGATATACCTGGTGTTGGCGTTGATGATTGTGCACAAGATGATCCTGGCATTTGATAGTGAGCCTCATGTAATGACAAATTGAGAGCCTTGGAAGCGGCCATCAAGAGATCGAGCTTGCTTGAATTAGGATACGCATACATACCCGCACCATTGGTAGTAGTTGCATTTGGTTCCTGATAAAGCTTTTCTTCTTGACCTGATGATGGTGTTGTTGTTGTTGTTGTTGTTGTTGTTGTATTGCTAACATCCATGCCTGCGAGTGATGCTGCTTCCTTGATAAGATTGCCTGCAGAAGAACTGCCAGCAACAGCTGCAGCGGCTGCTGCTGCTGCTGCGACTTGATAGCTGGTGGTGAGCTCAAGTAGAGTAGAAAGTAATTGTTCTTGAACCTTACTTGGTGGACGATCTTTAGAAAAGACAGCCATAAGGAATTGCAATATCTTTGTAACCACCTCTTGATGCTGCTGATGCTTTTCTCTTGCTGCAAAAGATTCTTCCCACAAGACTTGGTTGTCCTGACGAAGATTATGCAAGTCTGCACTAATGGCTGATTGATGACGGCGAATTTGTTCGATATCTTGTACAATGGTTGAAAGGCTAACTTGGCTATCAGAGCCATTGCGATCACGGTTACGCTTGCGTGCGACCAATGTCAGCAGGTCGGGACGCCCTCGTTGAAAGTTTGGGTTATTGAATTCCCAAATTTCATGTTTGGAGTCGCTGATAAGCACGCCTTGTTGGATATGAGGGATCTTGTGAAAGTCGTACATGTTGAGTTGCCGTACAAAGGATGCAAATGTATTATGCTTGTAAAAGCGTGGTAACACCACCTTTGCAAACTCTTCATGACCTTGGACTACATAGACACGTTACACTTGCCGTCAGGTGCTGCTGCTCTTATCGGATTGGATGAGAGGGAAAATAGGGTGATGATGGGGGAACCAGAAGGGGTAGTAGGTAGTCACCTAAAGCGAAAAGGAAAAAGGTCTCATACCTATAAAAGACGTGCCATCATTCGACCAGCGAATCATGTCGTCCGTCGTTGGGTCATTCACCATACTACATTGCATTGTGAGAATCGTCAAACCTAAACACACGTATACACGTAATAAAAAAAAACTTTACCTGAATAACTTGTTGAGGAACGCTGGTACGCTACGTTGAAGTGAGACTTGGTTGCCACGCATAGTAGCAGTATTCAAGCGCCTTTGCTTTTGAACAACAGCACGTGGGATGGATGTAGAGCTATCAGTGTCATCGTCATCTACAAGCGTTCGATCGGATTGTGTGCTGGGTGACGAGCTGGAAGAGGGTGATGGATAAGACCGTTTTCTTCCTGAAGAACGTCGTGATGATTGCTGCTGCAGGGATGGGCCACCGCTGGCTTTCGAGTTATCCGAGTGTGTCATGTCTTCTGATCATGTGTGAAAAAAAAGAGATATGAGCATACATCCCATAGATACAAAGGACACAATAGCATAGCATGTTATCAATGCAAGCATGTTGTAAATGACGTTAGTACAAACCTGGACTTTGTGGTTTTTGATATTAAAGTAATGTTTGTTTAAAAAGTGAAAGTGTGAGAGGAAAGAGAAGGGGAAGGAAGAAAGAATGGGCAAAGTGGAAGCGAGCAAGAAAAGGGAAAAAGTCGGTCATTCCAAATGTAGAAAAATGCTGCTTTTTACTTAAGAGCCGGTCGCCCACCCGATTTGAGTGCGAAGAATAGTGGATAGGTGATTTTGAGAATGGGGTCTTTCCTAAACAATCATGGTCACCCATGTTGTCGGATAACAGACTACAAGGTCCAATTGGTGGGGATGGTCGTTATGGCGGTACTTGACTGCTTTTACCTTCACTCAGATCGGGTTACGACTGGCAAATGCACGATTCATCGGGTTGTGTGTTGAAGTTCAGTATCACGGTCCTTGCGTATTTTCTTTATTGCCCATCTTCCCCCTCCCCCAAATATATACTACCAGATCAAAAGGAGAGTGATGGTACATGAGAACTATTCTTACTTGAACCAATCCTCTTGCCGAATCACCCAAAACATAATTCATGTGCTTCCTACTTGGTGTATTATAGATGCGGAATGGCATTCTCGGTTATCGTTAGTCTTTGATCATGCTGGCATCATTTGCGTTTTTTGGTTACACTTTACCATAACAATAACCCTACAGGGGAAATGTATGAGGAAATGCAGTTGCTAACAATGATTTGTCACTATTTCTTTGTCCAACATGAGAACCTGCTGCCTAATTCGAGCATACATGCAAAACCCTCTCCTTTTGATCCCTGTTCTCTGTTTTCTTCCTAAGCTGCATCAACGTATAAGGCCATGTGTTTATGGGCTATAGCTGCGCCATGATAGATGAGTGCATGTGTTTATGGTATTGCATTAGGCACAGGATAACATGTAATCCTACCTTGTCACACCACCACCGCTTCTCTCCGAGTTGTATATATGCAGTATCCACTTTGACCCAGTGATATACCTTCCTCCGCATATATCAAAAGCGTGATCAGCATGTTTAGAACTACAGCATGGCGTTGACATGCTCCCTTACTCCTTTCTTTTTTGCTTGCTCTCGACATTGTTACATGTGTAAACCAATTTGCTGGATCCTTCTAGCATCGTCGATGCGTATGTTGTGTTGTGTGATATGGAACCTTATGGATCAAATTCAGCGGGGAAGATCAATAATAAAAACGCGTCATCATTGTGCATCAGCGATGTTATTGGAAGCGAGCAAAAGCAACAACTTCTTATTCGCAAAATTAGGCAATGATCTTCGCACCCAACGATAGTAACAACAAAGGGGGGAAAGAAACTTCATTATAGCTTCGTTTGCCTTCTGTGGGTGAAAATGAAACGTTATCAAGTATAGCTTGTCAAGGGAGCTGATCATTATTATGCGGCTGCTGCTGTAAAATAAAACTTTGAAGCAACAAGCGAATGGAAGCCTATGGAAGCAATTGGTGCAAGGAGTATATACGTTTGTGTGCTTGCATAACACAACGTTTGTAACATGTTAAATTTTGATACGTGTTCGATACAAACGCGCCATTTAATGGGCAAGATGCATAATCTATCATATACATTACGCGTGGTGGGGAGAGACGTATGATACATGACGTTGGTGATGTTTAGCTGAGACAATAATTAAGCATCAACTTGAACAATTAAGGTAATTATGATGGATCTCGATCACTCAATTCATTTTCATATAATGCCGTCGTCGCCGCCGGAAATGCATAGCATGATGTGTCAAAGTATCTTTTGCGTTTATACATGAAAGGAACTAGGGGCCAGAATTTCGGGCCAGGACGCACGTGTTTACACTTTGTTGCTCTTGTACCCCAATAAAAGATAGGTTGTTGCAGCACAAGCGAACCTTTTTGTGTTTGATGTGAATAAAGGTGTCTCTCTAAACGTGATACGAGTTTGTCACACAAGCGAGCACAGTTACAATAGCATCACCTGAAAGATGCTGTAGATTGCAGAAAAAGATTTTTCGTGGCGTTCTCGTTTGCTCACTCTCAAACATGAACAACATTTACTGAATCGCTGTTTAACATCGGAGACATCTGGATAAACTTTATTTGTCCTTTTCGCAGCACTAAAACCATACCAACAACACCGCATACATGTTATGAGAATGGGTCATCAGAAGAAATGTTGTTGTGAGCCAAGATGGGAGAGAGAAAGATTTGATGCAAGGTGGGCTGATGATGTATTTTAAAACCAATAATACTAAAGTGAACGACACCAATGAGCTGCCTTCCATCTGATACCCTACCCACCACCCCAAAATGTCATGCAAGGGATTATTCGTATAGGTGCGTTGCTGTAGACTAAAGTATATATGGGAATCGACCAACTGATGTGCCACGGCTATATGGGACCATGTCGTCTTTGCCATTGTTCCTTGATGGATTGGTAGTATAGCTTGAACCCATCCACACCTCGTAGCAGCTGATACAGGATAATGCCGGCAAAACACGATGCTCCTGTAGCATCAAGGTTGAAGTCGTTTATCTTGAGCGATGTCGTTGTCATGGCTGCTGCGAGACATAGTGGAATGCCGCCCACATAGATATTGCGCGGGTCTATACCGATCCATAATTATCATCTCAGCTCCTACGCATTGACATATAAAGCCTCCCTCCCCCTTCTCCCCCTAAGTTACCTGTAAAGTCGATCCGATTCATGACCCATATCCGAATCCCAGTGATAGCAATGAGCGAATAAAGGACAAAAGCGATCCCACCAAAGACGCCGTTGGGTATGCTACGCACCACAGCACCAAATTTAGCGATGCATCCCAAAATAATAGCCACTCCAGCTGCCACAAGAATCACCAGAGGCGAGAATATTTGCGTCACTGACTACGTAATGCAAATGGTGAGCCAAGACACCAAGCTGTCTCATCGTATCCACGTACCAAAACACCGATATTTTCTGCATAGGTGGTCAAGGGTGCTGATCCAACACAACCGGCCATTAGCGTTGATAAGGCGTCTCCAAGATACGCTCGACCAAGGTACTTTTCCATGGGTTGATTTGTCAATGATGAAATAGCCTTGATGTGACCAATATTCTCGGCAATAAGGACCATGATCAATGGGGTTATAGTGCTGATGGCTTGCTTATCAAATATGATTGGCGTTGATATCCTTGGTCCACGCACCCAAGCAATCGATTCAACTTCTGTGAAGTCCACAGGGTATCCTACACCAGCGACACCGCATATGATATGAACCACATAGCCGATAATGAGTCCTAGTAGGATCGATCTATTTCAAAAAGTGAGTACAAGATAAGGACTTTGATGTGATCCCTCATACATACATGCGACGAATGGATGGTAATGGTGCATATACCGATATCAACATGATCGACATGACAGTGACGATGGCCATATAAAAGTCAAAGGTGGTAGCTGTTGCCTGGTTCAATGCTGAAAAGACTAAATGGACACCAATACTTGCCACCACAGATCCCGTAACAACTAAAGTAATAAGCATTAAAGATAAAACGCTAACGATCCATCACACTCCTCTTGTTACCTACTGGGAGGCATGAAAAACTCGACCCACCGATAGCCAAATAGAATCACCAGAATGGATATTCCAATATAGATAAGCGCGAGAACAATGAGAGCACCCTGAGCTTTTGAAATGTTTTCATTGAGGCCGGTTGTTGATGTTGCAGGATCAAAGCCTGTTATTGACTGGAAAGCCCCAAGCACAGCAGCCGAACTTCCAAGGTAGGATGGCACACGACCTCCCGTGACAATAAAAAAGATGACGGTAGCAATTCCAGAGAAGAACAATGCGGCTAATAATATCGCATGAGGAGCCTGTTGTTTGCTACTACCAACATCACCATCACTTACTATTCACGTCGATTCCCATCTGCATAGCTGATCCACAATGGCATCAAGGAAAAGGGGCATATCATCCTAATGTTGGTATTACTCCTCCTAAATCTTAAGCCCACAAGCACAATCCACTTACGTATAAAAACGGTAGCACTAAACATTGCCAAGGCATGTTGAAGACCATATGCAATTGATTGGAGGAATGGTGGTCGTTCATCAATGTGTACTGTGCCTTGAAGAAGTCCATTAATGGTCAATGATGATGATGATGATGACAGCTGCTGGTTGTGTGCAACAGTACTCACCCGATCGTTTCAACTTGTATTTTGGAAAGTAATGCAGTAACCCATCCTTGAGACCCCTCTTCTCATTGCTTGGAAGCTTTGATGACCATGGTGCACCATCCGCTACCGATCCGTTATCCACAGTTCCATTCCCATGGCCATGCGACGATGCAATCGAGTCACTCTCCATGCGGACTGCCGTTGATTCAATCTTGGTGTCGAGCGTCATGCGTCTGTGGGCTTTTCAAAAGGAACGCCAGCAGTAAGGAGGAGGACAGGGAAGAGAGATACATGAATGCGTTCCCGATTAACAAATACAAACCTCCCTTTCTCTTAAAAAGGTTGCACAACCGCCTTGAATTCATGCAAACCTCGCATGTGCCTTATCTCCCCCACACTCTATTTATTATCAACATAATCACATGATTAAACAAGCTGCATTTATTCCATATTGATACGTGAGTGTAGCGCTGGTGACTATCAACAACGATTGGAGAAAGAGAAAGAGAGAGAGACGTGTGTCAACAATATGATGTATACAAACATATGCATGCATGTGACGACGCCGACATCCCAAAGCCAACAAAAAAAGGAGACACTTAAAGGATGTTTCTGTTAGTAGCGCATCATCCTGTTTTGTTCCATCACCCATTATCACATCCCCATCAACGATGATTTCCACAAGATACTAGCATTGATGTTCGTGTCACACAAAGGAAGAGAATGAGAGGGAAGCCAAAGTTGTGGAATGATGATGAGAGGGCGGTTTATGCATCGGCGTGTCAAAATTAAGGAGCAAGCTAAAATCTAACACTTACCCATCGAGAGATCTTATCCCGGCCCAGTAGAAAATGGCCCTTGCAAGCTGCTATCTCGCTCTGTTTTGGTACTAAGACTTTCCAAGAAAAGCAACTTTGTGCCACCAATTACGCATTACTCTAATATCAATTAGCCAGGGTCAGCTGAAAGAGCTGTTTCATGCACATCCAATTGATCACGTATAAACAAGATCACTTTTGCCACCATGACAACAAGAAGAAGGATGGGTTTTTAAATACATGTTTATTCATGAAGAAGATTTGCAATGGATATTTTTTGCACAACAATTTTTTACAGCAGAATAAGAAAGACGAGTATTTGACAAGAACGATATGGATAGTAAGGTTACTTTTGCAAGTAACGTGTGGTGGTGGTAGTGGTAGTGGGGTTATTTGAACAATGTGAGTGTGTGAGTAGTGCGAATGTGCTTTTCTGATCAATGGTGGATGAACATGATGTGGGCTGATGGATATGATACGCTTAGGCGATGATGAGATGGATATGATATGTACGTGTGTGTGGACAAGAGAGGGTCAAAGTTAAAAGTAGATAAGAGATGGGAAGTGTGAGAACATTTTGGTGAGAACATTTGCCTCATTGGTAGATTGGGTATGAATTGGTGTAGCCAAGGAGCAGCGTGCCTCTGTGTGTGAAAGAGAAAATAACCACTTTTTTGCTATAGGGTCCCCGTTATCACTTCAAGGATGCATTAGTAGCAGTGCTACCATATGACATGGAACGCCTTCTGGCACCCTCAAATGCGTATTGCAAAGACAATCCTGTCGGCATAAAGTAGGATGGCATGGATGACGACATGTCACCTCGAAGGTCTGCAGAAGTTGGAGAACTCGCTTGTGACGATGTGCCAGGTGACGCTTGTGTGGGAGATAAGAGTCCAGTGGAAATGAATGATAACGAGGAAGTATTGATCAAAGGAGGTGTTCTCTTTTGCTGCGACGTGGATGAGGTACCCAACTGCGCGTTGGATTCGGACATACGCCGCTGATGAAAAGGAGCACAACCCGAGGTATGTGAGGCAAAGGTGTCAGTCTTTTCAAATGTTCGTCCACACTTGCAACGGAAAGGCATGCTGGAAAAAGAAAGGAGGAAAAAGAGATAAGAAGAATGCAACACGATGGGAAAAAGTGGGTGATTTAAATAGCCAGCCAAAGCACAGCAGCATATCGTTATCTCTCTTTTTAAAAGTCACACAAATCAAACAACATGTGATACCACACTCCTGCAGAGAGAGAGTGTGGGGGGGTGGTTTGGTTGGTCGACTTGTTGGCAGAGAATCCTCTCCTTGGTGACGCTTGCCCTCTTTCTTTGTTCATTCACCATTCACACACACACACACACACTTTGCACATTATTATTCATTGTATCCATAATACGATCTTTGCTTTGATCGTTTTCTGTAAACGAGTAGCGTGGCACACCTTCACCCCCCAGCAATGTCCCATATCACCCACGTAGCGTCAAATTGCCTCATTAAGGCTAACTCTCGGGTGACCAACAATATCCCATCTCACGTGTATCAAGGACGCCCACAATAAAAGAAATATTCTCTCATCCATACACAGACTTGTTTAAGTGGGAAGAAATTCTCGTTTCATGTTGAGCTGGAACCTTGAGCTAATTGCTACAAAGCGCACTAAACAGAGGATCAACTTGCTATCTTGAACTTGTACACCAGCGATTGCCTTTAGGACGCTCAACTTGAGGACGCGGCATTCACCATCACCACACTTTTGACATGTTTCCCAGTTTTCTTCCCAATTGTCCAATTCTCGGATATGACGCACTTGCCGATCATCCACGGTCATTGCACAAGCTTCATCCAAGATCACACGATGCTCGTGGATACCTTCAAGTGATACGGCTTGGCTGATTTCTTGTAGCTTTTGTTTGTCTTTCACACCAAGATCCATAGTCAATTTCCCATCCTTGTGCACTTGAACCACAAATTCCGACAGTTGCACCAATAATGCATGAGGGCTGTCATCCCGCTTGTAGCACAACCTCTGAATCCCTTCCTTGATGGGTGGAAGCACATTCGCCAATCGCACGTCTTGTAGTAATAATAGCACTTCCCGCCACCTTTGATCACCAAATCCATCCAAAGTTTGCTGTGAGGTAAGCAACTTCTCACGCAAGTTCCTTAGTGCATAGTATTGAGCATCCTTGAGCAAGTTCTTGTGATGCACCTCGTCACGGATATGAATAGTGTAGCCACGTAGATGATTGACAATGTCGGCAAAGATATCCGGGTCTCGATCAATATAAATGGGTGCGCTTTGTGCTCCAACACCTTTTGCAGGACTGAATACTTGATGCTTGATGGGTCCAGTAAAAAAGTTGCGTGATCCACCATCTAAACTAAATGCGTCAACTTTTTGTGTATCCCACCAACATCATCCCATATTACCTTTCTTTAACAATGACCATGGTAACCTGAATACACGTCCACCCACATTGAGAAAGACATGCTCTTGCAAGAATGCCGTAAGGCGTTTCAATCCATAATATTCAGCATCACACACCAAAGCTTGGTTTTGTACATCGTCTCGAGGTCGAACATGATATCCACGTAAATGATGAACGATGAGAGCAAAGATCTCTGGATCACGATCAATATGCATGACACGAGTCCCCCTTCGCTTGCGGAAAAAGTTGGTGAAAAAGTTGTTTGGACCATCACTCTTTAGAGACTCCCAACTAAGCCGAAAAGGTCTTCCTCCAACAACAAGAACAAAAGTCGCTTGATTCGATGGCTCATCCTCCTCTTGTATACGTGGTCGTTTACGGCCTGCTGCTACTTGTTGTTGTGTATCACCACCACCACCACCACCACCACCAGTGCTACCGCCGCCGCCGCCCGTACTACTGCTGCTGCTGCTACCGCGTTTGTTTTGTGTGCTCGCGCTGCTACCCAACGGTAGCGATGCTTGTGCCATCTGGGCATCGTTCAAAATGGAGCCTTCGTTGTTGACAAGAGACGTTGAGGTGGTGGCATTGGGATCTTGTTGATCGCTTGGTGCTGTGTCACTCGTCATGAACTGGAGAAAGTTGTCTGGTATAGGTGCACCCGGAAACAGCGAATCGTTTAGCTCATTGCCGTTAAAGTCGGTCGTGTCGAATTGCAAGGGATAATCAAAGTTGAAGAGACCATAAGGATCTGCATTGTTGTTGTTATTGTTGCCGGACGGGTTCATGGGTGAAAAACGAGTAGGAAGAACCGATTATACACAAATGTGTCATACCAATCCTGCCCAAATCAGCACGTGCTCTGCTACACGATATGTTCCGCTTTGCCATTATACCTCTTTCAACTTTTTTTGTAACCAATGGATCAACCTTCATTCATCCTACTTTCATTGTGCTATTTTTACTCTCTTTGTTACAAGCTACATAAACCTCATTGTATTGTTTAATGAAACACACACTCTCTTTCATTTCTTTGGATACCACTTCCTCGCGTGATGCATCTGTCAAAAGCTGAGATCTTGTTGCACCTCATCCGTTATTAGCTCTGCTTCATCTTATCTGCTATCAACAAGATAATGTGAGAATACTTCATTATACCCAAACTCCCTTGGCTGTTAGAGACTTTCTTGGGAATCAACCTTTACATGTTCTCGTCTACATGCATGTGGATTATTGTGTTCGGTAAGAGAATCTTTACCACATTCACCTGGATCTTCGAAAACAACACCCCTACGGGATCTCTATCATATAATCATACTTTGTCAAGATAAGAGAAGGTTTATTGGTTTAAGAAAGGCACTAAGCTACTGCTTTGAATCTATTTGATGCATTTCTATGATCCGATAAGGAATCAGTGTGGGTTACAAAGGAGCGCGTGATAATGTAAAGCTATAGTGAGGGGTGCTACAAGTACAATATTGACGTTGCTACGATACCAGCATTTGGTTGTCAAGGCAACAAGCAGCATCACGCGCAACGCATCGGTATTACACAAAAGACTTGACATCCGATATCCAATTTTGTTTCCTCTGCAGTGACTCTACAATCTCAGGGGTTCCTTCTTTGACGACCAAACATGTTTCCTCGACACGCAGTTACAGCTTGTTCACGACGTGCATACACGACTGCCACAAACAACGCAACAGCAGCAGCAAAGCCTAAACGTAAAGTGGGCGCTACGCGAGGAGGGTAGGTTGACAACAACACATCTCCAATGTCGAAAACAAGAACGTTCGATGGACGATCATGAGCAAGCAACCAAACTAAAAAGTGACCCGATGCAGTATCCTTGGTTTCCTCGTAGGTGCAGGTGTTTGCGTTGCCTTTTCCGAGCAGTTTATCCAGCAAGAATTCATTGAATCAACTCGACAACTGGCAAAGTCTGTCGACGAGTTGCATGCTTCCACCGAAAAGGTAAATGATCATGAAGATAGCGTGAGGGACAAACAACTCACAAAGACTTTTGCAGGTGCGCGAATATGCTGATATCGTCGAGCGTCTTGATCGTGACTATACGCAATTGCGTTCCAGTGTCATCAACGCCAAGGATTTGGATAAACTCAAGCGTGACCTGTACAAAGTTCATGTATGTTTCCCTAATGCTAATCCAAGACAAAGTGTATAGTCATTGACAGAATCAAACAACAGGATCAAATCAGCCATGAACATGTCCTTCTCAAGGCCCGTGTTGGCGAGATTGGTAAGTAACATACCACACCCACATCCACTAAATGATCCCATTGACTCATATTTGATTTGCTGGCAATGCATTGTTGTGTTTTATAGAATTGAATAAGCAATAAACATATACTACATGCGTGTACGGGGATGAAATGGTGTGCTTGTGTGAGGTGTGATTGTGTGTGTGTGTGTATATAATGAGTGAAAGATGCATTTTGGTTGTCTATGAACGTCTTGTCTTTTTAGACATCTTGATCTTGCGTTGTTCAATGCCCTTCTTTTCTTGTGCAGTGATCTCCTTTGCAGATGCAGCCTTGCGTTTCTTGGTGGATTGAGCATTCTTGACACTTACAAGCGACGACTTGGTCTTGCCAGAAGCCATGGCATCGACTTGAGCTTCAGCAGCAGCCCAATCCTTGGAATCACCACCAATAGCGTATTTCGACAAATCCAATGAATCAATCATTTCACGCTGCTTGGATCGGAAACCATCCAAAACTTCGTTGCCAGCTTCCTTGAGCTCACTATCCAAGGTCTCCTTAAGAGGCACCCAAGCATCATCATCCATAATGTCACGCTTTTCTGATTCCTCATTGTCTTCTTCCATATCTTCAGCTTCAGCTTCGAGCTTTTTGCGCTTGAGATCAGGGGACTCTTCCTCGATAGCTTTGCTTTGGACATTGGTAAAGAATTGGCTTGCTTTACGCACAATCTTGACAAACATGGCGAGCACCTGGTTGCTGGCAAGGCCAAGTTCACGTTCTAAATCATCCACACTCTTGCGTTGCAAACCAATACCAAGCAAGAGAGCGCTTTGTACACCTGATAACTTGACATCGTTGCCCATCTCACCACGAAAGTAGAGCATAGCAACAGTAGGGATCAAATCGAGGATCACATGGTAATCAAGCATGTTGTTCGAGTAGGATTCGAGACGTTTCAAATCGTAAGGCGTAAAGAACAAGTTGAGTGCCGAACGAGTGAGCTCTTCGGAATGATCTTCTTGACCTTGTTTAGCAGCTTCAAGCACACTTAAGGCATTGGATGCGGGGAAATCACTGAACTGGTATGAAAGCAAGTTGAGGAATCGCTTTGAAAAGTCTCGTGCAAAAGCATCAAGCCATGGTGCGGTTGAAACGGTGCTGCTTAATGTGTTGATCATGACACAGGTGTGTTCGCCGGTCAAATCATTGGGTGTTTGACGCACATACAAAGGTACAAAACCGGAGCGTTTCCAGAATTTGTGCAACGAGGGTGTCAAACCATAGGACACACCAAGGTAATCCAAACGTGGTGGGTTCTTTCGGCTAAGCTCGGTCAACAAAGGTGGCATCTTCTCACGCACCTTCACAAGCTCTGTACTCAAGTCGGCATTTTCCAATTCGTCATCATCCACAAGCTTGAATTCATCATCATCTTGACCAGCTTCTTCACTAAGATTGACAATCTCGCCTTGATAATATGACTTTAAGAGCTCCAATGCACGTGAACCATAGCCCATGTTTGCATAGTCGGGATGAGTAGCAATGCGCACCACACGAGCACCCGACAAACTAGCGAAATCTTCATCTTGGAATTGTTGTGACAAGAGCCATGGAATCATATCACCAGCGGGGCGTTGACCACGTGAAAGCGAATTGACAACGGTTTGACGCGAGATTTCACCTTCAAGACATACTTGGACAACCACCAAAGGATCGGGCAAGCTGTTGCTTTGTTGTTCAGACATCGATGGCAAGAGTACAAACAAATGATGGGCAGGAGCATCACTCATCAATTGCAAATCATTGGGCGAGTTCTTGTAGTGGCTGGCGACATACAAAGCCATCATACGTTGCAAAAAGGTTTCACTGACAGCATGGTACGAAAAGAGGGTGTCACGGTTGACATAGTAAAGCTCACATTCGGATGGATGAGGACAACCCTGGATATTCTTGGAAATGACCGATGCATCCAAGCACAACAACTTGTTCAACCACTTTTCAACAGGATCATTGGGTGCATAACGAATGGGCTCCTCCAACTTGATCTCCTTAAGAGTACGTCCACCCACCGAGGAACCATCAGCTTCATCAGCCTTTCTAGCATTCATGGAGCGATCCACCAAAACGTTTTCACCAGAAGCATCCTTGGCTACACTGCCGGACTTGCCAATGAAACCACGAGATTGCTCACGAAGTTGTTGAATCAACTTTAGGGACAAGGATCGACCGGTGCCTTCATAACCATTGATCGTCGATGCCATAAACACGAGATAAGGACCGAGCAACTTGCGAACAACGGGAAGAGGAATAGCAGCAGCTTCATCAATGACAAGCAATTCAGCTTGACCAAGAACATGGGCATCTTGGGGTTGAATGTACTATTATTTTTGTGTGTGTGTGAGCACATTGATCTTCCTATAGGATCCTTTTGTTTTACTTTACCTGAATCGTTTGACGATGTTGTCTGAAGATATTGACACGAACAATGGCCTTGTTGAAATCAGGATTGGTGGACTGTACGATATCATAATCCAAATGCTCCTCATAACCAAGCGTATCAAAAGTCTTGAAGACAAATTGGAAGAGAGTCTTCAAGTTTTCAGGACTGGGCGATGTGACAAAGATATTCGAATAGCCGTATGCAACTGCTGATGCCATAGCGATACCCAATGCTGCTGATTTACCACGACCACGACCTGCTGTCAAGGCCACTGTGCTACGCAACGACTTTTCAGAGATGGCCTCAATGAAGGTGAGCACCGCCTTGGCTTGGTCAATCGTCTTGGTACCCTTCACCAAAGATGAAACAGGCTCTGTATCAGCAAGCGATTCCTTCAATTCCTCCAATTCCATCTCCTCCTCAGTCTTGGCTTCGTCGCCGGACTTCAATGGCAATGGCTTGACATGTTTGCCCTTGCTGATAGGAAGCACGTTCAATTCATCATCCACCACCAAACAATTCTCGCTGTTGCCAAGTGACAAAATAAAACGTTCGTTGAATCGTGCAACAATCTCGCTGTGTGCTTCGGTGCGATATCTCGAGTGAACATCCTATTGAAATGCATATTAGTTAGTACATGAGTCTATACATACCCCCATCATCATCTATGCCCTTCTTACCATAGTCATGGTATACAATTGCTTGAGAGAGCTCATGCTCTTGAGAAGGAGGACCACCATACCACCACCTTCGACTGTTTCAATGGTACGAGCCAACGTGTTGGGAGTAATGGCTTCAAAATCTTGCAGGATACACATGCCATAAGTGTTACCAAGGATCTTGTGCGTCTCCTTGTAGTAGGTGTATCGGATATCCGTCACTGAAATGAACAACTCGAAAGGATCCTCAGTGTTGGTCTCACGAATTCCCTTCTTGATCTCTCGCTTGATCTTGGCTTCACGCTTCTTGCGATGACTGGAAAGGAAAAACAAACCCGATCGATCAGCATGTCGTCGTCTATACACTATCGCTCCCAACTCACCTTGTAAATCCGAGATCCTTCTTGTAACACCAGAGCACCGATGGACGAGCAGTGACTTGAGCTTGAGAAAGAAGCCAATGCAAATTGACGATCTACTTGGAGGTCAGGGCACATGTCAAACCACTCTCTCAACCCACCCCATGCTGTCATACCTGATCCTTTCCCTTATCACCAACAACCACAAAGAAAGAACGGTGCTTGGTTTGCACACAATTCTTGATAAGGGTGTGCACTCGGGAATCGACGACTTTTTTCACCATGTAAGCTGTGCAAACGGAGAAGGAAGGATGATTCCAGCCATACTGCTCTCCCTCAGCTGAATAAAGTGCGGCTGTGGCGGCACTTTAGAGGAAATGCTGTCACAGTGCCCCATCCCCGCATACCCATTGTCTTGCATGAATCTCTTGCAGCAAGGTCTCTCTTAAGGAAGAAGGCATCGTTAGTGGTATATCTTTCAATCTATCATCACCCTATTTAGCCCACCAATTGCCGTACAATAATAAACATATGACAGTATCATTGATGATAAGACCTAATCACCCAAAAAAGGGGAGAAGTGTTATACTGTTGAGCACAGTCTTTGTTCAAGGCACAATGAATCTTTCTCTTTTTACTTTCTTAAACATTTACATGTGCAAAAACTTCTATAACAATCCTGCACTTCATTCCATATCATGAATCTTTCTTACAATGTATCGATACCCTCACACAACGAGGTCCCACTCAGGATGAAGGGAGGACCCTTACATTATAAAAACTTAAACCGATTGCTAAACACAATCTCATGTTCGCTAAAGTAGACCTTTAATAATCCAACATCATTCACAAAAGATAGATTGAGAGGTACAACGAGTTGCGCCAATGAGGAAGATACATTGATTTAAAAAGCTTCTATCCTTTGGGCTTGCATTGTGCAAACGTAAATAGATGGACTGGAGGAGGTATTTGATGGGTGATGGCGAATAAGCAACTGGATGGTGACGATGATGGTACATGGTTGACAGGTTGCACAAAGGATGATGATAGTAGCTGCTATGGATTAGCGATACTTGTATCCACTAATGGTTCACGATGATATCATCAAGCATGGTGATCAAGTTGACTTTGGATAGACAAGAACAAAGGCCCTCTTTCCACGCGTTGTATCCGGGACCTTCATCTCATGCACCCAAACCAATATCCATATCCATATGCTATACGTAAATAAAGCTGCTTCTCAACAATAACTACATGCTGTTCACGTAAAAGGCTTTAAGACAAGTTGCTGCAAGTAAAGAACGCTCTAAATGAAAAAGTTGCCAAATCAGCTCGGACCAAGAAAGTTGAAGGATGGAGATGACGGGCTGGAGCAGGACAATCGTTCACATGCATTGGATTGGGCAACAAAGGTGAAGGGGAGGGAATGGCTATTAGCTGCCAATGATGGGCTGTTACTGAATATGATACATTGCCCCTTCGAGTCATGCATATTGAGCAGAGTTACACAAACACGCCTTCTGCATCTTTGGCTCTCCAGCGTCTAGCTACTTTACATTAAACAAAGACCGCTTCTCATATAGCATCACGCTTACAAACATAAAGGTGCCTGTATCTCCAAACTTTACAATCAAACGTGGGGTTTTTATTAGAGCAACGTGCTCGGCTTGGCCAACTGCACCTTGTGTGAAAGTTTCACGATCAAGCTTGCCAATCCCAGATTTCGCAATGTCGCCACCAGCCAAACTGGATCTGGAGGTCGACCTCTTCCATGACGACGACCAAAAAAATATTTTTTGGGCTAGTTGCGACATTGAACGTGAAACTTTCA